ATAACCCCAATATAACCCCAAAACCTATTTGAGGGCTTGGATCAAAAGCGTTGAATTTCCCAGGCCTTGTTGGCTTCGCTTACTTCGAAAGGCCAGACGCTTGGGCAGAAGCAGGGGAAAGTACGCGAGGGAAGCTTCAGAGAATGGATAGGGTTACGGGCTATGGCCTTACAATTTGAGGAGGGAACGAATATGAAGTAGGTCGGAGCATGTTGTAGCTGTTGGTACTGTTGTGAACAATGGCACAGGTGCACGTCTGACAAATTCATGCGCTCCCTCAGAATCCAGGGGCCAACAAGAGCGTGCAGCTCAACAACTGCCAGCCAAGAATGAGGTGGGCTAGATAAGTAGTAGCAATAATTAAAGTTGCCATTGTGTGAAGTCGAGGCAGCTCTAATGCCAGGGCCTGATCCAGGGTTGTGACAGCTTATGTTGCGATTAAGGGGTGATATGGGGAATACCATAGGGATCCGTTCCTCCATTTCCTACCGAGCAGCAGAAGAGTTCTGACAGCAGCTCTCATGGCAAGGACTGCTTGAAACACGGACAGGCTGGAAGAAGTATCTCCTTTTTCCTTCTAAAATGGATTTTGCGGCTGCGGGCTCTAAACTATTATGACTCAAGCTAGCTTGAAGCCGTAAACCCAGACCCCCAAACCTAAATCCTCAAAGACCTTGCAGCCTAATCCCAAAAGCTTCGGTAATCAACAATCTAAATCCCAAGATCTGCACACCATGTGGCTTTCGCAACAGGGTATTGAGCTGTGACACATGAACTGCTGTGGGCAGTAATTTTAGTCAACGGCAAGCGAGACTTGACTATACAAACGTTTTACCAGATGGTTTAGAGTTCAGGGCTGGGGCCTAAGGCTTCACGCCAAAAACCTCTAAACGCTAGCGAAGTCCTGAGCCCTACATCTCCCACCGTGCTCACGCGTGAGACCCCGGCTTACCCAGTGGGCTACGGTTGAGGTCCACGCTTTAGGGCTTAGCGTTTGCCTGATAGAGGCTTAGTGTCTCAGGTTCAAACTCTCCGGAATGGAGCGGGGGTGGTAGAGTGAACCACGTGCTAACCGGAGCCTGAGTCGTGGCTAGCATGATTCCTGTAAATTTTTAATGATACACCTCAACCACACCAAGCCACCATTCTCACGATGCAGGCCCCTTTTTTGGTAGCGGAACCCTGCAACCCAAAGCAGAGATGTCGAGCCTAGGAGCAGTGGGAACACCTGGACAGATCTCACTCGCTTAGGCGTCGAGCAGGACTTCGCATGGCTGGGTGTAGGTTGCGAGCTTTAAGCTTCACGGCCTACCGGCTTCTTCGGTAGCGAACCCGAGGTCATACTTCTTGGGGGCAAAGGCATTCAGTCTTTGAGGGTTGTTTTGGGTTCAGGGTTCAGAGCAGCACTGTTTGCAAGTTGTTTGATTGGCCCGCGTTGAAGAGAATCAACCGTTTCCTACTAATCTTGACCCGCCTCCGGACCTCTCAAATAATTTGCGCGTTCTGCAAAATTTCTTTAAAGGGTTAGTCAAGGCATATGAATTAGAAGGACGCAATTGGTTTAAGGGCATTGCGGCATCCTGAAACAGCCCTACTCCTCAGACTAAGCTGCTGGATTTCGGACTGCGCATCCCATTCGGTCCATGCAATAGGTTGTTGTCGGGGCACAGGAAAATAAGGCGGGCCCAACTTCGACACGACAATGCAAGCTCAGAACTCCTTCCGTGGTTGGAATGGGCTCGTGTTGTTGGTTCCAGGCCTCGATTTTTCAATGATGTTACCTCCAAAGCCTCTATAGCACTTCATGTTTCGTGAAACACATGTTTTGCATTGGTGCTTCTACACGCATATGTCCCCCAGGCCACCAGTGCCTCACCCCAACAGAATCTCAAATATAATGCCACCCTAAAACACCTTACATCCTCTCTATGTAGCCTTGATAAACCCTGTGAACCTCCCGTCCTAAACCCTAAGAGGAATGTCTCACGTATGTCCGATGGCGGAACTGCTTCACGGGCACTGAGCTCGCATTGGCCAGCACCGCGACTGCTTTACTTGTTTTAAGAAGGATTTGGGCGGTTTCGTCAGTATTTAGGCGGTGTTTGGTATGTAGGGTATTCATTTCAGGTAAAGTTCAGTCGCCGGTTCGGGTGTCAGGATGTTCACTTTCGGGCCCATTGTAAGTGTCTTCTCTTTGGAATTTGTAATCCAAACGGGTGGAAATCCTTTAACTTTGGTAGCAGCTGTAGCAAGGATGACGGGAATCGTTGTAGGCCCTTTCGTTCTTTCTTTTTCTTTCTCTCTCTCTCTCTCTCTCTCTCTCTCTCGCTATATATTTATTACTATATACGCAGCCCCAAATCCTTCTGAGAAAGCCTGAAACCGAAGCGTTAAATCACATCTTTGAACCAAAGCTGCGTATGATCTCCAAAGAAGCTTCGACGTCCGGAGTGGAGAAAAACACGAGGCGGTAGCATTGGCACTACTTCTTCAAAGCACGGCCCTTGGAGATTATAGGTGCGGGGTATACTGTAAGTTATGATAAGTCAAGTATGGCTAGCCGCTAGTTCAGAGCCTACCTGTAGATTGGATGCAGGCCATCCACAAACTCCTCAACCCTCAATTCTGCATCCTGAACCCTCATTGCTACAATCCCCCGAGGGCCCTCTCATATCACCATCCCTAGCCATTTTTTGTTGCAGACGGTCTACGTACTGGAGCTTAGTAGGGAACGGAATGTAGCATATAGGGGGTACGGAGGGCTTATAGTCGCCTTTTCCCTACTAAGCCCCAGCAAGTCTAGGGGTGTAGGAGTTTGGGGTGTGGGTATGCGTTGAGGGTCCAGGGTTTCGGGGGTTAGGTTTGTTTGGAAGTATAAGGGCCTTGGCTTTGGGGGCCATTTTTTGTTTGTGTTTGTGTTTTGGGAGTCTCTAAGGCCCGCACCTATTGCTTTAGATGTTGCTTTACTAGTCTCAAGGTCTTAAATCAGATATGTTTTGTTCTTCAAGCCGCAGGGTAAAATGGAGGTTATCGGAGCGGCGTGGCGCCAGTGAACTCAGCTTGGCTAAGCTTGCCATATATGGCGGTCTCCAAAAGTCAGGTCCATCTTTCTGGGGGTCCTTGTGATCGGGATTGCCTGGGGTATGTTTGTTGGATTTCGTGAGTGGGACCCCATCTTGAGGCAAAGGCTCACAGGCCTAGAGTACAGGGGCGTCCTGAGAAAAGCCCATGCCAACGACTGCCCAAGCTAATGTGGAAGCCTGACTACGACTCAATAATGAAGATTAGCAAGGAAAAGAAATGGAAGACAAAATGGAAAGCATAATTTGCGTGCAGGTGTGAAGGGTATACCCCATAACGTGTTACAATTGTTTAGGACCCAACAGTAAGATTTTAACCACAGTTTCCATTTAGTTTTCCATGTTCTTTCCGAATTGGCTCTCCAAATTGTTGCCCCTACTTATGCCAACCCTGAACCCTGTGTATCCCCATATATCTGGTAACTTCCTGTACCTTACAACCTTTCAAAGATTACTTTAAAAGCCTGAACCTTGAACCTGGCGAAGCCAAGGCACAGTGAAGGATTGGGCAAAGGTCCTCATGAGTCATGGCTTTGATTTTGTGTTGTGGGGGCTATAGGGTGTTTAGGGTGGATGGGTTCTCCCTTGGGTCTTGGGACGTTCCTATGGGGGTTTAGGGATTTAGAGTTTATGTTTCAAGGCTTCAGTTCTGTGTTGATGGATTCAGGGTTTAGTGTTTGGTTGTTCAGGCTAGGGTTGAGGGAGGATCTCTCATGGCTGCGGGCTTGATGTTTACCGCGTCACATCCGGAACTTTCCTGGAAATTGCATTGAGGGCGTAGGAACCGCATGATAGTTGATGTTTGGAGGATCCAGTTCCGTAGGTAGGGGTTGTTGGATGAAGACTCCGTGCTGCTCGTCAACGAATTTATGTTGAGAATTTGGCTGACAGGTTTCGGACACGTCCTCATACCCTGGCGAAGCCTCAATGGAGACGTCTCAGTCTGATCCCTCTATTTATTTTCCGAGTAGGGACTATACGGGTCCCAAGAGCAGCTTTGTTTTGAGAACCGCCCCGGCTGAGTTCCTAGGAGACCCGACGAGTTGAAGAACATGCTCACCCAAAGCACCTCAGCTTGAAGATCCTGGCTTCGGCAGTTGAGTCATCGGGCTTTAAGACCATCCTTGAGCCCCATAGGGGTCAAGGAAAGGATGCAGTGTGTTTAGGGTTTGGGGATCCCAGATCCAAAGCCACTGTAGGCATCATATTGGGTCATATTTGGGCTATATAGGGATAATGGAAATGAACATGGAAAGCACAGGGATTATTGGGGCTACATAGGGATTGTACTAGATATTCGGGTTTCAACCTGAGAGTTCAGCGCTTAGCTTTTCGGGTCGGCCATTAGGCCGAAGCCAGTCAACACTACACGTTTCAGCAGCGAGGCTGTCGCCTAGAAGCTTCCCCAAACGGTTCCTAATTTCTATTCCTGACACAAGATTTCAATGGAAGCCTCATACAAAAGTTCTTCTGGTTTTAAGATTTTCGTTGGTTGTCAGTGGCTTTATAGAGGAAATCACACAAGGAAACCCAGTGGACATCTACTAGAATTAGACAAATTCTTGATCTCTTGGGCTTGAAGTGTTCTTGTGTGGTAGTTGTGGGGATTGCATTCAGATGATCTTATGGGACCGGCTGTAGATAGTCCTTATAAACGAGATTACACAAAATGATCTAACGGACACCTTCTACAACGTGGGAACTGCGTTGCCTCTTAGGTTCTCCTGGTTTTGGTGAGGTATAAATATACCATGTTACCGTCAACAAATAAAGATCTCCATCACTTCCTAGGTTCTGATGGTTTCGCTTTAATTACGGATCTTCTATACCGACGAGGTTGCTTTCTATACCAGACATTTTCTTGTATGATGTTGGTATAGAATTTGGAGTCCTCTGCAAAGAGCTCCCTTTCTCGCAGTTTTAAAGCAATGTACTGAAGAATCCAGAAGGACCTCCCAATGTAACTTTGGATTGTCCTGGGTCACTAAGTAGCAGTCTTTTCTTGAACTGGGTAAATGGAATGGCTCGCTCAAGTCGATCCCTACACATAAACGGATTAGGCCTGCTCATTTGATGAAGCGGACAAAGTGAGCTGGCCGGACCAAGTAGGGGAATCTTTTCTGATGTAATGGATCAATGTAACCTACTGTAATCCAGCGCTTTGGGATGCATGACTCGCGTGTGATGCTGTGCTCGTCACTCGAAAGAAGGACTTCTACTTCGCTTTGTCTGCTCAGGTCTAGGCAGGCGACCAGGGCTTGGGTTCCCAAGACTGCACCGCGGGGACCATGGTGACGTCGGGGGCAAGCTGGGACCTCTCACTACGCCGCGGGCCGTTTGCGACCTCATTGCAACGTCCATGGCAGACTAGAACCTCGCGGTGAAAGACCATTGCAACACGATTGCGCCGGCACAACAAGTTAACCTCAGAGACATCTTCAGGCTTAGAAGTTCTGTTCGGCAGGGCCCGTAAGTTTTGCTGCCTTCTCATGCGGAAGTTCAAACAGCCCTTGTGTGGTTCTGAGTGGGAGATCATTAAAAATAATTGTGTGTTCTTTATGGGGATTGAGTTGACTGAAACAACGAGGAGAGGCCTTTAAAATGCTCCAGACGGACTTTTTAACGCTGAGGCCACAACGCGCAATGGCCCTCTGCCTTCAAACCTCAGTTCTCCCTCAGTCCCAGAACCTTCGCTTAACACGCTAACATCTGGAATCAATACGGCCCTGAAGTCCCTTGGCTACCAAAGGCAACTTCGACTTCATGAAGTCGCTCAGCAACATGGGGCCAAGGGCTTGTGTGTGGACGGTACAAGTTATTTTTGGATTCGGGCTCTTCGGGATGCCTCAAACAGAAGAAGCATGTGTTCTGCTAACGAGTTAATGCGGTGTCCCTTCTAAGAATTATAACGGCTATGTGTACTCCCGAAGGACGCCAGGGGTGTGTCTTGAGGTCCCCCAATCCAGTCTTAGAGTGATGAGTTTCACGGTTCGGCTTTCACCTGGGCATGTGAGGAGCTGTAGTGTGTTTAGTTGGTGTCTAGGAATGACCTGCCGTCTTAGGTGGGAACTCTTGACCATGGGGGCCCCCGTCCTTCACTCTGAACTCAACTCTGCAGAACGTGCTCAATTTGGCAAGCCTCAAGCATGGGCTTGAGAACTTTGAATGCTACCCTTGGGCAC